CCGCACCTCAGTAAAAGACCACTTTCAGGAAGAATCATCAGCAAACACTCTCCGGAAAGTTTCCGCAAGATTTCCATTTCTCCAGGAGGAAACTCTGACTCACATCGGGAACGTACGATTTAGGTCAACGAGGGTTACCTTCACTTTAAACTAAAGACCACTGACTGGATCGTCCATCATGATTCGCATAAAAAGTCTGTTTTGAGAACGACGTAGCAACTAGGATCCGGGAGATTTAGGATACCACACGTCAACATACTGATGAGCCTTGCTTTTGTTCCAAAACACGTTCAATTTAGTTGGAAAATATCCCGGAAGTCCTAAGCCAAAAACATACCCTAGTATTTGATAGATTTTCAGCAACCGGACAATGTTTATGGCGAAACTTTCACGTGATACCGACTGTGGATAATGGGAATCTTACGCTAGCCCTGCTATACGTAAGCACTGAACCGGTTTAAGGCACTTGATCGGGCTCGATATGAATTCGTTTCGAAATACCTTTCATGAACAGGTGAGGGTAGTTGTCCCTTTTCTACCAAAAGCGCCTAAAGTGTCACAAAACTGTTCTTGTGGTGGCTTTATTTCTTTCTCAATACACTGCTTTAACGGGGGTTTTTTCCGATGAGGTTTTTTTCATTTCCATTGAAGTTGACCCAAGACCATGTTGTGGAATCCATTTCGGAAGCACTTTCTTGGAAAAAATCTGAATTCACAACGGAAATTGACAAGAGCTTTTCGACGGTTTTTGGGCTATTTGAATTTGCGAGATTCTTGTGAGATTCTATGCGTCTTCCTCAATGGTCAGTGCTGCATTCACAAAAGGGGACAATGTGGTCGCTTTGGAAGGCATGATGGAATCCATCTGAGAAGATAACAAATGCCAATAATGAATGCTACTGCGCTCGGCGGTCAGATTGAGCGGCTTGATTTGAAGGTCACTTAAAAGTTTGCTGAGTAATCAGGATTTTTGGTTCACCGGGAGATTGTACACCCTCTTTTGGTAGATCACTTCACGTCGTTGAGGACGGCGGCAGCGTTGTTGAACATGAAGACGATAATGAGGATGATGATGAGGAGGTGCGTCAACAGTGAGTCATATGTAAGTGGATTGTCACTTACCTGATAAACTGGAAGTGTCCGCTGCAAATGGACCGACATGAGGGTAGCTTTGTCTTGTGAAAATTTTTCTCCGTAAAATGAACACTTAACTTCTGTATTCATCAACGTTTCGAAATGTGGCCCTGGTAATTCGAATGTGCATGCTAACTGTTTGGCTTAGTTGTTTAACTACTTGGTGGGCAAGAACAACTGTATGCAAATTTCGAAATTCTGTTGATTTCATTTTGCAACCAAGTCCACGATAGTTGTCCACGATTACATGGTGTCACTTGTCACGTGAGTGGCAGCCGATCGATGCACGCGTTCGACAATAAATGTGAGGCAGAAATCTGTGAGCGGATTGAAGTGCTTCGTTTTTATCCTCAGTTCTAGAGATGTGATTAGGTATTTCAAGGCTACTCTGAAGGAACTTTTGTGATCAGAAGCACATACCCGGTACCAAAAACAATCTCGAATGGTGTAAAAGAGCATACGATGCTGCTGATGGTTAACTTTCCCTAAACAAGCTGGAACACATCTCTGTAACTGTTTTGAGGCATTGTCCTGTTTTATGATGTCGTGTCAGCTATCCAGCCTGTTTCATTGTACACCGGTTGTGTGTAGTCTTGAAGGTGTGAAAACTGATCTGTGATATAAAAAGGGATGCACAAGATGTGTAGATGATGGTTCTTTTTGAATAAAAGTTCATTATTCTGACGTGTGAAGCTCACGACGCGATTCATCTGATATAACCTCTAGAGGCGAACAGATTTCCTGAAGGGATAAATTAACCCCTCTTGGGAGCGTTTCATCTATTCTTCAAGAAGACACCAAATGACTTTGGCGGGAATGATCGTTTGAGGTGTCTGGGATGGTGTTTCACATCGCTTCTCCAGAGTGTGAAGTACAATATACATCGAACTTACACAATGGATTGGTTTCCCCACTTTGGTATATTCGGTGGATCTTATCTCACCACTATCCAAAATCACATTTTTCAGCGCTGGCAGCAAGAGCAAGACCATGCTTAACACTGTTCTCGAGACCAAAACGAATTATTTTTCGCTCCATAAAATAAAGCGTTGTTTGTCACCGGAAGTGATCTGGTGTAGTTTCAGCAACAATCCTTTACTAACCTTGAAAAACAGTTCTTTCTAACAAAACTGACAGCAAACTTGATGCCATCTGTGACTGATACCGGAAGAAAGGAATATAGACATCAAACGTCAGCTTACGTTACATTCGACGGCTTTCTCCTAAAAGATTTATTGAATAAATGTTTGATTGAAGGTAATGACGAGTTTAGTACTGAGTCAAATAAAATCGACATTCAGCCATTTTTCGACTCGAAATCCAACTTGACGTTTTTAATTTATGACTGCAAAGCCAGCTACAATATCTGTAAGTAGTATTGCTTAACCTTTAACGTGTGCAAATGAGAAAATCGGTTCGTCTGTTGCCGTCAGCCATCGAAGTTTTGGAGTCTGAGACATCGAAAATCCATCATTGAAAAGATAGTTTATTGTATTTTCATCCCCATGTCATCACTCATAGTAGATGCTGTTTACTTCAGGCTAAGATGAAACGTGTCTTCTGAGCTGAAATCTATTCACTCCCGGTTCTTAGTATCGCAATACATTAGGAGAACCAGGCCCGAAATGGATTACACAACAGCCAATCGAATAACAGCTTTCGTCGGGACGGATTTAACTGGTTGTTCTTCACTTGCCCTTGACGGATGAGTTATGTTTTACTATCACTTTTTGGTTCGCCTAGAAATTTTCACGTGAGCTTTATGAGTAGCCCGTTTTCGGCTGCGCATGACGCATGTACGCGACGGTGTCCAATAGATCAGCTGATTCGTACGTTTATTGGCTGTCTGATTGGGCGAAACGCATCAGGCTATCGAGCGGCTATCCAGACTGATAAGGCATTAAAAAACTACTTTCGTGTCTGGTGGCTTATAATGCATAGATTGTGTTGTTGAATCAATCAAAGGCGCTCTTCCCTTCACCATTATATCCCTTAGGGGACGATTTTTTTTCTCAAAATAAAACCCTAGCAATTTTTATGGATCAACTAGCCGCCTTAAATATTTCTTGTTCTGCAATCAAATCCATTTCTCATGCCACATCTCACAACTCAACTGCTCATCGGCAACTTTTCTGGACTGCTGACAGTCATCAAAAGCTTCACCGAACAGCTTTCACTTACCGCAAATATGGCCTTTAAATCCCTCACGGTTACCCAAACAGATCAACACAAGTAATTTTTCATACGTCCCAAAACGCTTTTCTACTACCCAAATTCTGAGCAACGATGCTCTCTTTTCCTGTGTCACTTAGGCAGCACTGGCGTACATCTGAACACGAGAAATCTTGCACTAAGAGTGTTTCAGTAAGCTATTTGCCTGGACTCAGGACTGCCCAAAGGTCAGGAAATGTCGATGGAGGAATAAGCCCTCTTTGTTTTGTATCTTTGCGATAAATTTACGACAAATTGGCTTGACCATTCTTTGAGCCATTTGGCTGGGTGTCCTTAAATGTCCTTGAACTGCAGATCGGACTTAATCAGTCGAAAAAGACCTGAAGTCAATTACATTAAATTAACTAAATTCCTCAGTTTCACTCCTGTGAGTTGAGTCTAGTAAAGCAAAGCAAAGCAAAAACTTCGACCATAATAAAAGAGATGCCGCTCCAGAAGGACTAGTTAGGGAGAAAAGTCATTGCATAAAGCTTGTTAAAAGTGATAATCAAACTTCACAAACTTGCAAATCAATTTTTAGTTTCGTCGAGAACTCAAAAGAATCCATCCGGGTCACTCATCCGTGACGTTCTCATGTTACACTAAGTTGATAAGACACTCGATATATCAATGTGTTTGCGTTTCTGAACATATTACTCATAAGGTTGCTGAAAACCCCTCAACAACATAATAACCGTTTCATTCTTCTTGGGACTGGCTTATGACAGAACTCAAGGAAGTGTACCTACTTGGCCAGGCTCAGCAGGAGCAAAACCGGCCATCAGCTGTGGAGCAGTTTTGAGTGAGCTTATGAATTGTATATTTCAACAGCATTAATAAAGACTTCGAGCATGTTTAAGTATAGTCCAATGACCGACGAACTCACTTTGAGATAACTCAGTTTCTTCTAAAACAGTTGACAAAATTGAATGAACTGGAAGTTGTACCTGGGAAAGTGAGGATCTCACAACAGAGTGAAACTGAAATTCCAATATACTTCATCGGAACAGAAATAAAAATTAAAAAAATTCCACAATCCCGATTGTAGTGTGACAGATGAGGTCAGTACACGAATCTGCAAGGATCGGGCCGCGTTTGCTGATTTGAGAGACCTATCGTATCTGAATGGCTTATCCCTGAATCTGAAGGGACGTGTGTGTCAAGCTATAGTACGGGCTGTTTTGTTGCATGGCTGTGAGACTTGGCCTATTCGAGCAGCGGAACTGAGACCTCTTCAGGTGTTTGACAATCGTTGCCTCAGAACCTTAGCTCGTGTGGGTTGGTGTTGGCGAATCCGTAACGAGGCAGTTAGAAAGCGTGTTTACGGTTGTGCAACGGGTACTTCGATTAAAGTGTGTGTCCAGCACCAGAAACAGTGTTGGTTGGGACATGTGTTGCGTGTGCTGAACCATCGTTTGCCGAAGAGAGTGCTGTTTTCCATGCCCCATTCAGAGTGGCAGAAGCAGAGAAGCGTCCAACCCTTGACTCGACGGAGCGGTATGAAGGATATCACGAAATGCTTGGATGCTGTCGGTTCTACTCGCCTGGTTGGAGACACTACAAGATATGGCTGTCAACCGATATCAGTGGCGTCCTTGTTGTCAGTTTCTATCCAGATTGCCTGAGTGAATGTCTGGAGGTATAGGTATCTCGTAATGATTGTCGTAAGCTAGCACTACGTCCCTTCTATTTACTCTTTTTTACAATAAGTCTTTCAAATAAATCATGGTTGTAAAGAGGGGAAGTATCGGTGTTGAAAACTGATGTCATGCTGTCGATGATGATGATGATGATGATGATGATGATAATGAGGATGATGATGATGTTGATGTTGATGATGATGATGATGATGATGATGATAATGAGGATGTTGATGATGATGATTCGGATGATGATGTTGATGATGATGATGATGATGATTCGGATGATGATGATGATGACAATCCCGATTTACAATGTGCAGTAATTGCACGTAGACATTTCAATTCGTGTGGGCAGTACCCCATTATGTTTGGACATTGTGTTTCCCATTTCTAAGCAGTGGTCAAATATCCAACCAAACAGACCCATATTCACGTACCCAAACTATCCTCACGCGAAATTTCTAAATGTCTGGATCGAATTCGGAAAACTTTTCCAGGTTTATCAAAACTGTCGCCGATTCATATGGCCTAGATGAGCCAGTATTGCATACGAATACCTCTAAAGATAAACTGATTTCCGACAACTCCTGAAGGTCATCATCTCTTCAAAACCAGTGAGCCCGGTCGGGATGGATAAATGGTTCTCAGATTTTACAGTGATCGCTTTCTGAAGCAAAACTTAGTGGTTTCTCTTCTAATATGTACGCAGTACAAATTAAAAGGTATATCTTTATTCTTTATCATAACTTTTGTTTGGTGATGCGAAACGAGGTGACTATCTCCATTTTCCTTCAGTTATTTCCCTAAGCCTACCGATCTCGATGTTTACCAAACTTCAGATTCCTCCTAGAACAAAAGGTGTCCCAATCATCATCGCGGGACGACTAATCGAGCCATTCCCAAAAGTCCCCTGAAATTAATTAGACCCTCGAGTTCCCGAGTACATAGCTGGAGATCATACTGTTAGTTAGCCAACCCTGTTCATCTAAGATTCTAGGCAGTGCTTGGCCAACAAACTGTAGGTAATACTTGAGATCTATTCACACTGCTGATCAGCTGCTTGCAGCCAAACAGTGGTCAACCAGTGGTCGGAAAACCGCGGGTTTAAGATTCTTTTAGTTTCGGGAGTTGGTTTCTAACAACGATGAAGCAACTGTACGGTACCTCCTGGCCTTCCAACACCGATCAGCTTCACTGACAAAACGATAACTCTACTAAATATTGCTAAATCTCCTCAAATCACTATCAAATATTCAGTACTCTCGAAGTCTCCCAGCTTACTACAATGCAGAATTACTGCAAAATATGCTGGTTTGCTACTTAAGTTGAATTTAACAGCAGATTCAAACACATTTCGGCCAATTCTCTTGTTTATGCATGAAGATTATTTCGGCCAAATCTCTTGTTTATGCACGAAGATAGCCCCCTAATATTGTTCATATGTTACTCGAGACACTTGGTGTTTTCTTGACAGAACGCACTACTGATAAGTTTGACGAAGACTCTTGGGCCGGTTTCAAACCTCTTTGGGCTCCTCAGGTAGACGCAATCCCCAAACATCGTGTTCTTTCAAGAAAAGTATTGCATTATCTCGAATATAGCACCGACCGCAACACGAGGCCACGTTTATGCAGTACATCCAGCTGGGAATCGGTTGAGACTTCTGTTGACAAAATCATGTCTACAAATGCGTGTGTTTCTGCAATCACGTACTAGTTGATGTCCACTTAGGACCCGAAGGTGGCGAAAACCCAAGGACTGTGATTACCTGACGAGCTCCTATAGGGGCGAAACTGGTCCCACTCGAAACCGTCATCATTAATGTGTCCATTCAAAAAACTGTCTGGTCCCCCCATCGAACGTATCCAAAAATCAGTCCCGTACACACGAATAGGATTTACGGCTTCATTCCGACTGGTTACTCACTGTCCAAATCAGTGACCTTGTTTCAGGTTGTGTGAACACACGTAGTTCCTAAGACTACGGACCACCGAGAGTGCGTGCGACCCATGACTCACTAGACAGAGTTATTGTTTGGCGACGGTTCGAGTCATGTAATGCACAGTATGCGGAGGAAAGTGGATATAGCATGGAATACCGAGAATTCCACTGAGACAGCAATTCAAAAAAACATTTGAACCCAAGAACGAAATCCTCTTCGTACGGGGTTCGTCCCTTTAGAGGATGGTTTAATTGGAGGGGGGAGACCTTTAAGTCCTTTACAATCCAGACTTTCTTATCGGCGTCCAGTTACAACGAACTCAGTGAAACCTTTTGAGTGAGGCTGTAACAGCACAGTTATGTAATGCGGTCGTTGGATCCAACTCACTGTTATGTTTGACCATTCCGCCTTTCGGGAACAAAGCGAATGAATGAGGGTTTTTTAATGAACATAATTGGCAGTAACCGAGCAAAATTATTGGTTAGACAACAGAAAACAGCATGTTAGTCACTAATGGAACGAGAATGAAATGGAGAAGTTGAACACGACTTCGGAGTGATTGATACTCAAATAAATCTACAATGATACCGTAGCATACAAACAAAGTAACAGAAGCAGTATTGTTTTCAAAGATTTCGCTTTGTAGGCAATTATTGTGAAATAATTTGATTTGGAACGGGAATTAAATTTCCCCGCCCAGTTGCCCCTTCAAGATGACCGTTTAGATCCAAGAAGTCTTAGTTAGTTAGTTAGTTAGTTAGTTAGTTAGTTAGTTAGTTAGTTAGTTAGTTAGTTAGTTAGTTAGTTAGTTAGTTAGTTAGTTAGTTAGTTAGTTAGTTAGTTAGTTAGTTAGTTAGTTAGTTAGTTAGTTAGTTAGTTAGTTAGTTAGTTAGTTAGTTAGTTAGTTAGTTAGTTAGTTAGTTAGTTAGTTAGTTAGTTAGTTAGTTAGTTAGTTAGTTAGTTAGTTAGTTAGTTAGTTAGTTAGTTAGTTAGTTAGTTAGTTAGTTAGTTAGTTAGTTAGTTAGTTAGTTAGTTAGTTAGTTAGTTAGTTAGTTAGTTAGTTAGTTAGTTAGTTAGTTAGTTAGTTAGTTAGTTAGTTAGTTAGTTAGTTAGTTAGTTAGTTAGTTAGTTAGTTAGTTAGTTAGTTAGTTAGTTAGTTAGTTAGTTAGTTAGTTAGTTAGTTAGTTAGTTAGTTAGTTAGTTAGTTAGTTAGTTAGTTAGTTAGTTAGTTAGTTAGTTAGTTAGTTAGTTAGTTAGTTAGTTAGTTAGTTAGTTAGTTAGTTAGTTAGTTAGTTAGTTAGTTAGTTAGTTAGTTAGTTAGTTAGTTAGTTAGTTAGTTAGTTAGTTAGTTAGTTAGTTAGTTAGTTAGTTAGTTAGTTAGTTAGTTAGTTAGTTAGTTAGTTAGTTAGTTAGTTAGTTAGTTAGTTAGTTAGTTAGTTAGTTAGTTAGTTAGTTAGTTAGTTAGTTAGTTAGTTAGTTAGTTAGTTAGTTAGTTAGTTAGTTAGTTAGTTAGTTAGTTAGTTAGTTAGTTAGTTAGTTAGTTAGTTAGTTAGTTAGTTAGTTAGTTAGTTAGTTAGTTAGTTAGTTAGTTAGTTAGTTAGTTAGTTAGTTAGTTAGTTAGTTAGTTAGTTAGTTAGTTAGTTAGTTAGTTAGTTAGTTAGTTAGTTAGTTAGTTAGTTAGTTAGTTAGTTAGTTAGTTAGTTAGTTAGTTAGTTAGTTAGTTAGTTAGTTAGTTAGTTAGTTAGTTAGTTAGTTAGTTGGTTAGTTAGTTAGTGGCTGCTGAGTATGGGGGATCTTCGAAGGCTGTCCGTGCCTGACCATATGTGGCTCAGAAGCATCGCATGAATCTAGTAGGACTCATATCAATAATGCTGAGATTCGCCAAACAGCCTTCGAGATAGTTCGCTCTCTCTGGATAGATCACTTGGCTGCAGTACCGGTTTTGCTGTTTAGGACGCGTAATTCGTATGCCAGATGATCACTTGCCTCACAGAGCTTTCTTCACCCAGTTTCGGAGACGACCGAGTAGCGGTCAGTCCATGATATGGCAACGAAACATGAAAGCCCTTAACAGTTGCGTTGATAAGTACCGTCTCCGGGGGCCAAGACCGCAGGATGTGACGAACGAATGGTTAGTGATCACAGCGTATATGTTGTCGCGCAACCAATGGTGGTCCTGCAGTTCCCGGTCCGCGTAGCTCTCAATGCACGCCAAACAAACGGACAAACGGTTTAATTCGTCGTCAATGTACAGATTTGGCCATCACCTCCAAAGTGTGACTTTCATTCCCTCATTCCGTTATCCTTTGGGAACTGGGCTGCACCAACCGGAACTATTACACTTCGGTGCACGATCGGAAAGCTGAAAAACTAAACTGAACTGGCGTTAGTTCAGAGAGGTTCTTATTTTCCAAGCCAACTAGCACCATAACCCAGCTGGTGTAGTTGCGATTCTTTAGCTGAATACAGGAAAAACAAGGGTGGTCGTATTGGACAGTTATACACCTAAGAAGGAATCGTTTGAATGAGGTACGTCAATGGTGAAAAACAATTCAACAATACGTTCCAAGAGTAAACTATGAACTACCTTCGCTGTTCTAACCTATAAGGTTCACACTTTGGGGACGAGACTGAATGGCTTGTGATAACGACTGCTATGTAAATCGTGTCTAGACTGTATAAGAACGTGACCCTGATCAACTGTCTAGAAAACACCAAAAGGTAAGATTAGGATGCGGGAGAACTTTGGGCATAGAGATATTTGATGTAGACTTTCTTGCCATCGCAAAACATTGACCAGTCAATTCATACTGTGCTTAAAAACAGTGCTAACGATTTCACACTCGTTTACACTCATTTCATGGATCACACAATCCTACGTCTTTGTACTCTCACTGTTCTGGTCTATTCCACGAGGTTTCGATCCGATGAAGAACAGGACTATTGATCGGCCGACTCAGCACCGCTCACCAGACGCAACAGAATCGAGTAGGAATGTTGATTTGGGATATGACGTAGTTCAGAGTCTTGAGATACATGAATAACTGCTAGTTTTGTATTCCGCCGGAGGAACGTGTGCTCCACACTAGAGATTCTGACTGAAACTAACTTCTGCTGTGATGCCACTCTCATTAAACCTCTGCTAACCTTTTGTAATGCACTACTCATAAGGTTGCTGAAAACTCTCGCCCTTCTTGGGGCTCATCAGGCAGGCACCGTCCCCGAGTGTCCGTCAACCTCATGTCCTACTTGAAACCGAATCGCACGAAACTAGCGGAATACACTCATTTGCAAGCTAATTTGGTTTTGTGAGAGACTCACCTGGAACCCAGCTGAATCTCTCGGTTTTGATGTTTCCAGGTAAATGAGTGTATATTCGCTAATTTTGTGCAATTTGGTTTCAAGTGGAACACAATGTTGACGGAATCTCGGTGACTGCTCCTAACTGATGAGCCCTAAGAAGGGCAAAACCTGTCGTGGGCTGTTGAGGAGTTTTCAGAAACCTTATGAGTAGTGCATTGCAAGAATATATATGTGTCCTGCTATCTCGAATATCGTAGCGGCTGAAACATGAGGCGGTCTGATGCAGCACATTCAAAAACCGAGAGATTCAGCTGGATTCCAGGTGAGCATCTCGAAAAAACAAATTAGTGTGCAAACTAGTTTACATTAGCTAATTTCAGCTTACCTTACCTATAGATGTGGGATTTTCTCTAGTTAACAAGGGTGATACAGCTCTGTGGCTAAGTGCGAGAGACAGGAGGTTCAGAATTAGAAATTCAAGCCATTAGAACCCAGTACACGTATGGGTATTTTCCAAATGAATGAGGAAGCAGATTAGGGAAAGGATAATTACACCGGATGTGTTAAACTTCCTTGTGAGAATTTGCCATTCGATGAGCCAGTCAGCACGTGACTACATGATGTGGTTTCCGTTAATGAATGGTGCTGAATCCTGTCTAAGTGAGAGCTAATCACACTACTGATTGTGACCAAAAACAAGTCGGATTTGAAACCGACCGCTCCTACTAACCGAACATCATGTCAATTGGACGGATGTGTCACGTGCGTCGCGGACCAAACGAGGCATGCCTTGATTGGTCAGATAGCCAGCCAATCTGGATGGAGCGTCTACGTCTCCTCAGAAGATCCTAAGGCCACCTTGTGAGAAATTCTGTGATGACCCCATGAATACGGTTGTAATAATCTTCCTTTGTCTCCATAAATAGTTGTCTCAAGCTACCATGCCCCTTGATATACCATAATGGGCGGTGCAGGAAGCTAAGGAGCAACATAGAAGTGGCATCACGACTGGAAAAACACAGCAGAGTGCTTTGCAATGAACTACCCATCGGAGCATGGCCTCCGACGTGGAAGCACTTCAAAAGTGCGCACTGACCACGGACGGTAGATAGCTCCAATTCAATATACGTTTAAACCAAAACTTGTTTGAAGCCGCTGGTGAATCCATCGAATTACTGATAGAATGAAATCCGATCACGAAAGCCGACTTTCACTCAAAGGTTTATGTCTGCTTGCCGTTCCTTATCAGCCTGCGTTAATAAAGGAGCTAACCTCGCCCGAACATTGGCACTAGTTCGTTGCAGTGTTCAGCATACAACTGGGACGCAACAGTATAACTGGATTGATGGCTGTACCATAAGAGGAGTCGGAAGCGTCCATCACATGACCGAAGCATTGTGAAAAAGTCTCAGAGGGGAATTGTCGCGGTCACCACATAACCCGAAAGCATTCTTATCACGCTCATTCACTCTCTGCTTCTTTTTGTGCGCCATTTGCGTTTAAAAATACTTTGTTAAATCCTGGGTTTGTTCTCCGAAGTCACACCTAATTCTCTCACCAAAGATCTTGACAGCCGACCAGCAAGGTAAGAAACTAGTGTAAAAAAACAGTAAAATAAAAGTTGGTCGTTCAGCCGCAGTACACTTTTGGTGGCCAACTGTCACGCATCTCAAAGTAGACAAGGGGCTAAGCTAGTGCCAAGTGGGCCCGGGGTAGAGCAGGAGTAATCAGAAAGCCATCATTAAGCTCAAAGCAGGAACCTCCCGGTAGCATTTTCACTCGTTATACAGAGAGACATGTGCGTTCCCGTGATGTTATTGTGGATTTAAAATTTCAAATCAATCAAATGCTTCTTGTTTGGTTCTAGTCCTTCCAGTCCACCAAAGCAATCGACGTATACGGTTGGACGTTTTCAAATCACACATGTCCATGCACAAAAGGACAAAAATGACATCTAAAGCACAGCCATACAGTGAGTCTCACCTTGAAATTGAGTACATCAAGCTGAAATTTTGAATGCAGGCTTCGAATTAATCGTGACAACAGGTAAAGAGTAGTGGTTCCAAGCAAATGTCATAGAATGATACCAGCCGTCAACCTGTAGAGTCTGTAACCAGAAATACACGTTGATTTGCGACTAAATCTGGCCAGAACTCGAAGTAATGATGAGTTTCCGGGGGACTTGGAATAAAGAAGAACGAATCATACAACCGGCGGTTGGAACTTTCAAATCGATCAATGAAGATTCGTTTTACCCAGTACACTACGGAGCAGCCAAAAATAATGAACACCAGCAGTCGACAAGTTCAATAGCCCAGGAATCCAATGAAGGATGCAAAAGCGTGTGTTTTGATACGATGCACCCATAGAAAAGGTTCCCGGCAATCGTTCTAGATGAAACCCGTTAAAGATTTTGTGCTCCGCATTTGTAGAATGTGACAGATCAGAGATCCAACTTTCACCATCTCAACTTGAATACAACCAGGAATATTAAGTAAATTGTTTCTGGCGCAAGTCGTTATCTATATGACTAACTGTGTGTTGCAACTGGTTCATATTACTTGTACAAACGAGTGTCATTTTAAAGTCATTCTCTCCTCTCCCTGTGGGTATTTTGGATGATCCACACCAAATCTAGGCAGTATTGTACTCGAAATGTACGTCATTTGAGTGGACATTCCTGTTCCTACCCGGTAATCAACTCCGACTGCCTAATATACCGGGATTGCTTGTGTACATCTGAGATGAGATCAACGTAATCACTGCTGATTTCCAAACAGTTACAAGATATTTAGAATTCAGAAATGAATGCGCTGGTTTCGAATCTTTTCTGGATTATTTTTCAGAGTCTTATCCGCCCGTACGAGTCCTTGAACTTCGAAAAACTGGGAATTTGGCATTTACCTACTCTGTTCAATCGTTTGCAAAACCTCTATTCTTTGGTAGATGTTTTCATCATTAGCCATATTGGATGGAGTAAAATTTCTGGTCAAAGTCGGGAAATTCTGCTAATTTCGTGTAAGCAGATTATGCGTGTGTTCACCCCTCTTGATATGTGTCGCTTGTACCGCGCCAGTTTCATGGACCTGGTTGCAGTTTGATACGGTCTTAGTGCTTGCCTCTTTAGTTGATACGCCTAACAAGGAGCGGCCCGTTACCCAGTCAAGCATTTCAGCATTGCTGCACCATAAACAATAGTGGCGACGGGGATGTCATTGAAGATCATATTAGGTTAGTATGATAGATAACTGGAAATTCCCACGATGCAACTCTGACTGCTGCATAAAAGAGACAAGTTCCTTTCAGACTAATTGCCAACAGGTTCATACCGTCCCGGTTCCACTGCAGTGGGACTGAGATTCTACATCAATGCGGAATCAGATCAGATGGAGAGAAGAACAACCAGTCACCAGGAATCTGGTCGTCTACCCATGCGAAAACAGGAAGGCCAAACATACTCAAGTGAAAATAAGTACTATTGAAATACTACAAAGTATGTTGCAAACAAAACGGTCGATCGAAAATCACTTGGCAGCACTGAGTCACTGCTCGCATGGTCAAATGCTGTAGTGAACGGGAAAACAACTGTGGAGTTTTTGGTTTTGGTCCCAAACCAGTCAAACTAGTCCAGGTGTTTCTTTTTGCTGTTGTGCAACAGCCTTGAATTTATATGTCGATTGTGAGTTGTGGCCTTGACCATCTCCAAGAATATATTCATCTACAAGGAAAAGTTATCTTATTCCTAATGCAGTAGTTCACTAAGTTCACCAATTTCCGGGTAACGAGAGAGACAGAGGCACTTTCAAAGCGACGAAAAAGTCAGTAATTTTGTTTACTTACTTCCAACTTCTCAAGTCTATTCTGAAAAAAACGACAGCACAAGGCAACTTGTACTTGCATTTTTGTATTGATGGACTTCCTGGTAGTAAAATTTACTACCGAGTTTAAATAGACTTTTCTTCCGTTGCTTTCATTTCGCTCAGCTGAGGCGAAGTTTTTTTAACGAAACCTGTATGTCACATCCGTTTTCAACAGCCTATTTAAATAGATGCGTGGGGTTCAGCAGCAGCACCGACCCTCCGTTTGCAAAAAAATAGTACTCAATAGTCTGATTTACCAAGGACTCAAATCCTCGTCATATTCGATTGGAATTCACAACTGATAAACATACACTGGACTTTGAGAAATACACTCATTTGCAAATCAATTTGGTTCTCACGAGAGACTCAACTGAATCTCTCGTTTATGATATTCTACAACTGAGTTGAGTCTCTCGTGAGAACCAAATTGATTNTGAGTGTATTTCTCGAAAACAGTCCAATTTGGGTTCAAGTAGAACGTAAGGTTGACGGAAACTCGGGGATTGCGCCTACCTGATGAGCCCCAAAATGGGCGAAACCGATCATGGGTTGTGGAAGAGTTTTCAGCAACCTTTTGAGTAGTTTCCTTTATGAAAATACATTCCTGCCAGAGCTACTTGTGAGTCTTTTGTGCAATCGTCCCTGTGAGCGAGGTGCTGATATCGTCCATGCACCCAAAGATCTTCAGTTCACATCAGCTGGAAGGAAAAGCTGACTTACCAGATCTTGAAGTGCAGTATCTCCATTTGATGGAGCACCTGTCCGGCTAGGGAGAGATCGCTGGCTGGATTTCATCCTAAAAGCTGACCTTTCCATTGTGTTAGTTGCACCTGAAACTAGGATTGTTAGATTCCTTTCTACTTCCCACTAATATTTAATGAACAAAATCTTGGGTAATAGTTCGTAAAAGCAATCTGTTGAAAAGAGCAGAGAAGTTGCCCTGTGGCAGACCGTAGATTCCGTTGGGATTAAACGGAATCTCGCCCGAGAGTACGACCGTTTGCTCGTGTGGCATTCGGACCTGATTACAAGAAACGCTTACTATTTCGAGTTTTGATGACAACAAATCCGCCGATATATTTTAGTGTAAATCAGATCCGAACATTCCGGTTTTTCTCGAAGCCGGTTATTAGGAAAGAACACCTGATGCGGTTTGTATTTAATGCATTTACTTTGTCAACAAAGTTGTGCACGACCTTGAATCATCACGATAACTAACGAAGTGGGATCATCGGGCAAACAATAAGTACACATCAGATAAATCCCTTTCCCCTCACACCGATGTTTTGAACTCTTGAAGATTGTTCCAATGAATGAGTCACATATGAACAGAAGTTCACATTCGCCTGTTTGACTGCTTGTCAGAGGAAGCGTGAGGAATATGGTCTCACGTTTGATTTTTTAAGGCAAGTTTTCCGGGTTTCGCAACACGCCATGGAAATGTCACCTCGTTCTCAACTCGGTCACTCACAGCGTTGACGGAGGTTTGCGGTAGACGAGACGCGCAAGGGGGGTTAGTCAGTCGCTGATTGCAATGTTTTCATTTGAACTTAACAATACGGGATACCGAAAATGGGTTACGCGTTGTCGAATCTCAGACATATGGTGTGTCAGTCATATAAAATGTCATTATGCACCAACAGAAAAGCTCAAATTGGTGAGTTCCAGTAAAAAAAACTCACAGTAACAGCGGGAACCTGATTTAAGTGACCTCCAGCTACTTCCTTTAGTGCCGTACACTTTGCCATTTCTGGCAGACGTCCGATGTGGATTAGGACATAAAATGTCTGACTCAAAAAGTTAAAAACCTCCTGCACTATCTTCCTTCAGCTGCTACGCGATAAAGCAAAGCATTTTTCCGCACAGTGTCACTGGGAAAAGGACTTTGCTGAGGTGCAACTTTTAGCTACATTGGGCACGTCTTTAATTCCCGATGTACACAGATGACGTTTCTAAGGAAGAAACCGTCGGTGAACGTGGTACATCAAAAACTGTTGAAAAAAACAGCTACTGAAGTCCGTAGAAAGCAAATGTCTCTGTTTGTGTGTAATCATATCACGTGGGGTTAGGATAGACACATTTGATGCTGCAACCATGTTGTGAAGTATGGATATTCCTCACTTGCGACACTGAGTTATCCCGTTGGGTGTCTGGTACTACCTTCTAAGACCACGAAACTCGTGGAAGGTTTTCTTCCCTGAGTTGACTGCCATCCTGCCCCGAAAAGCCAAGGGGCACTTAACGGCTGATTTATCGTGACATCCGGACTACAAGGGTTTTCGGCGTAGATTGCCTTCACTTTTAGGACGAAAGCTCGGTTGAAGATTACTTATGGATTCTACGTAGTGGGGAGACTTAAACAGAACACATGTGAATTTGGTCCTCCGAGAAAAGTCAGCCAATGGACCGTACAACTGTTCTTCTTTACTTATGGTATACAACTCATAAATCTGTAGGCAAATTTCAGTTGTCAGACAGACACTGTATCCGGACTGAGAAGGTCAGAACAGCTTTTGTGAACTCGCGTGACCCATGGGGCAGGCGTGACCTAAGCTTATCCGTCAAGGTCGAGTTTACAATGCTGCGATGCGCCCCATATTACTATACGGATCGGAAAGCCTGGCCGCTGCGCGCCGAGGACGTCAAAAGACTTTCATCGTTTGACCATCGATGTCTTCGGAGCATTGCCTGAATCTGGTGGGAACACCGGATCAGCAATTCTGATGTACGTCGAATGGTATTCGGGAGAAATAACTCACCCTCGATAGATGAACTGATCACACTGCATCGGGTGTGCTGGCTTGGCCACGTGCTGCGTATGCCAGTCTACCGACAACCTCGAAGGGCTCTTTTCGCCAGAGGTGGTCAAACAAGGACTTGGCAGCGAAGTGTGAAAGCCATTACCAGCAAACTCAGCTGCGCTGGTCACTGCCGTCTTCCTGGATGGGGACCCCGAGACGGTCCACATCAATAGCTAGAGACATCGTCAGATATGGCCCAGTCGCGCCCTCAATGGCGCTCGTGCATCCAAGCTATTGCCTTCAATGCATAGCTCCTTTTCCAAGCCCCCCACATGACAGCCCACTGACAGTGCTGGATTTATGCACCAATTT